TAATTAAGAAAGATAATGGCTAATTAAGGAGTCGAGAAACTAATTAAGGAGTCAAGTGGCTAATTAAGGGGCAGGGCAAGTGGGCACAAGGACTAATTAAGAGGGGAATGGCTAATTAAGGGGTGGGGGGAACAAGATAATTAGGTAGCCACGTGGTGGGCTACCAAAGTGCGGGCCGGGTCGCAGGGCCAGCGGCTAACGAGGGGCTCTGGGGGGTAATTAGGGTAATTAGCGGGATAAAAGGGGTAATTAAGGGGTGGGGAGGAAGGGAGAAGGTCATTAAGGGCTCCCGTGTGGGTTTAAGGGGGGTGGGAGGGGAGATAATTTGGTAGCCACACGGTAGCCACGGGGCTAGTGGCCACTGAGGGGGGTGGGGAGGAGAAAAGGCAGCTAATTAAGAAAGATAATGGCTAATTAAGGTGTCGTAGGGTCTAATTGAGGGGTCACGGGGCCTAATTAAGGCTTAGAGAGCAGGATAATTAGGTAGCCACACGGTAGCCACGGGGCTAGTAACCATTGAGAGAGTTAGTTAGAGGACAAGAGCTTAATTAGGGGGAAAAATGGTTAATTAAGGGGTCATGGGGTCTAATTAAGGGGTTACAGGGCCTAATTAAGGGGTCATGGGGCCTAATTAAGGGCTGGAGAGCAGGATAATTAGGTAGCCACACGGTAGCCACAGGGCTAGTGGCCACTGAGAGGGGTGGGGAGGAGAAAAAGCAGCTAATTAAGAAAGATAATGGCTAATTAAGGAGTCGAGAAACTAATTAAGGAGTCAAGTGGCTAATTAAGTGGTGGGGGAAGTGGGGGGAAAGAGTAATTAAGCAGGGAATGGCTAATTAAAGGGTGAGGGAGACAAGATAATTAGGTAGCCACAAGGTAGCCACGGGGCTAGTGGCCACTGAGGGGGTTGGGGAGGGGGGAAGAGGTTAATTAGGGGGAAAAATGATTAATTAAGGGATCATAGGGCTCTAATTAAGGGGTCATGGGGTCTAATTAAGGGGTTACGGGTCCTAATTAAGGGCTGGGGGGCATGATAATTAGGTAGCCACGTGGTGGGCTACCAATGTTCGGGCCGGGTCGCAGGGCCAGCGGCTAACGAGGGGCTCTGGGGGGTAATTAGGGTAATTAGCGGGATAAAAGGGGTAATTAAGGGGTGGGGAGGAGGGGAGAAGGTCATTAAGGGCTCCCGTGTGGGTTTAAGGGGGGTGGGAGGGGAGATAATTTGGTAGCCACACGGTAGCCACGGGGCTAGTGGCCACTGAGGGGGGTGGGGAGGAGAAAAGGCAGCTAATTAAGAAAGATAATGGCTAATTAAGGTGTCATGGGGTCTAATTGAGGGGTCACGGGGCCTAATTAAGGGCTGGAGAGCAGGATAATTAGGTAGCCACACGGTAGCCACGGGGCTAGTGGCCACTGAGGGGCTTGGGGAGGAGAAAAGGCAGCTAATTAAGAAAGATAATGGCTAATTAAGGTGTCGTAGGGTCTAATTGAGGGGTCACGGGGCCTAATTAAGGGCTGGAGAGCAGGATAATTAGGTAGCCACACGGTAGCCACAGGGCTAGTAACCATTGAGAGAGTTAGTTAGAGGACAAGAGCTTAATTAGGGGGAAAAATGGTTAATTAAGGGGTCATAGGAGCTAATTAAGGGGTCATGGGGCCTAATTAAGGGGTCATGGGGCCTAATTAAGGGGTCACGGGGCCTAATTAAGGGTTAGAGAGCAGGATAATTAGGTAGCCACACGGTAGCCACAGGGCTAGTGGCCACTGAGGGGGTTGGGGAGGGAGGAAAAGGTTAATTAAGGGGAGAAATAGTTAATTAAAGGACCACTAGCTCTAATTAAGAGATCACAGCACCTAATTAAGGGGTAGGGAAGCATGATAATTAGGTAGCCACAAGGTAGCCACGGGGCTAGTAGCCACTGAGGGGGTTGGGGAGGGGGGGAGAGGTTAATTAGGGGGAAAAATGATTAATTAAGGGATCATAGGGCTCTAATTAAGGGGTCATGGGGTCTAATTAAGGGGTTACGGGGCCTAATTAAAGGCTGGGGGGCATGATAATTAGGTAGCCACGTGGTGGGCTACCAAAGTACGGGCCGGGTCGCAGGGCCAGCGGCTAACGAGGGGCTCTGGGGGGTAATTAGGGTAATTAGCGGGATAAAAGGGGTAATTAAGGGGTGGGGAGGAGGGGAGAAGGTCATTAAGGGCTCCCGTGTGGGTTTAAGGGGGGTGGGAGGGGAGATAATTTGGTAGCCACACGGTAGCCACGGGGCTAGTGGCCACTGAGGG